TACACGACGTCGTTTAAGATTTGTCTAACGCTGTCGTTTCAACGCTTTTAAAGCGTGGGTTTTCCCGTTTCATTAACTTTCACTCAAAGTTGGTTTGTGTCAGTTAATGAAGTAATTATACCTGAAAGTAGCTTAAATACAATTTAATTTTACGGACAAAAGCTAATGATTGCGAGTCGGTGATCAGATGCGGACGAGCTTATATGGTCCTGATATTTTTTGGATCATAATTGGTTGATATGAGATCTACTTTGTCTAATGTTGTCTTATTTATTTGTTAGGATGTACTGGATCCTTCCTCCTTTGCTTGTTATTTTTTTCACGAACCCACTTTTCCGAGTACCTGCCACGTTTTACACTTTTTCTTTTTTTCTTTTCCAAAAAATATATTTTAAGGTCACACCAGCAGAGTCCAATGAATACCTGCCACGTCATGAGCTACTCTGTTTTCACAGAATGTTCGCTTCAACGGACTATCGTATTAAAAAACGACTAAATGTACGTATATACGTATATACGTACGTATGCATGTATATATGTATTTATGTATTCATTATTTTTCAGTGGCTGTAGGGAAGGATCAAGCGTGAGAAGGACCACCGTAGCTTTACGACGGTCCTGAAAAGACAATTGAGTCCGAGTGCCCGTGAGGAATGATGTGATGTTGAGAGGAGTACTCGGTTAAATGCAGGGGTAAATCAGTAAATCTATAATCTTAACGTCTAGAAGTCACGTGACGGAGAGAGAACAGAGGGTAATGATGATCCGTTAACGGCGTTAACGTCGCCAGCACTAGAAGCTTGCTGAAAAATTTACCGCCCTAATAATTACCAAACTCATCATTAAGTTAAAGTATGTTCAGATCGTGGATTTAAATTTTTAATTTGAGTTAAAATATAATTTTATGTGAAAATTTTTTATTGTAATAGATAAAAATTAAATGTAATTTTTTATAAGAATTTTTAACTGTAATAAAATTAAAATTAAAAACTTAAATTAATAAAATAAATGAGATCTAAATTTTGTGTTGCCTTTTTGATCGTGGGGTTAGGCGTGAGTAGTGGCCTAACTTGGGAATTTTTCCATTGTAGGCATATAAATATTAAATAAAACTAAATAAATTTGTTGTATTTAGAATTTCTTAGTATTAAGTGGGGGTATAAACATAATTTTTTTTGAAGTAAAATGCGATTGTTATTATGTGCCTCGTGGTGCCAATTTCAATAGTCAAGATGTCCACTATTTCTGTTTCAGTTTGTTGAGATGTTTCAATTGTTTTGTTTGATAGTTGAACCATAATTGGGTTGGTAATCAGTTACAAATATCACAAATTATTGAATAATACATGAAAAAAAGGAATGATTTATCAGTAACAATTTTCTTTTTTTTTTCCCCTACAAATATATACGTAAGAGAGACTCGTTAATTAGTTTAATGGTGAGGCTCTGACTCTGGTAATCATCTAGCATATTAGGACTCATCAACTTCTTCACCATCTTTAAGTTAGTTCAATAAAGTATTAGAATTCGTTTATTTTACTGATTCGAGTTTAAAATTTGAGTTTGCCTACTGTAAAAATTTATTATAAACAGTTACATCTAATTTTTTTGTTATAATAAAAAGCTCTTACATAAAATTACATCTCAACTTAAATTAAAAATTTTAATCAGTAAACTAAACAGATTCTTAATTATTCCAACTTGGTTCGGTGAGACTAATACAACTAAATTTAACCTGAAATCTAGTTGGATTTAAGATTAAAAAAAAAAAAGGACCCTGCTATATGGCTTTACAGAATCACCTGCTATACAAAGCCAGAAATGCTTAGCAGTAAGAAATCATGTGTGAAGTCGAAACGCTTTAGTGGCAAAAAATAAAAAATAAAAAAAATAAAAAAATAAAATCCTTGTTGTCATTTCATGTGGATTTTATTTTATTATTTTATTATTTTTATTATTTTTATTATTGTTTTTCAAGTTACTTGTATTATGATTCTTGTTTGTTTGTTGTAATGTTTCCGTCTGAAAGTAACAAGTTTACCACCAAGGAAAGGACTATTTCTCACAAGGCAATTTAAGGTTTGTGTGTGGTTCACTACTATTTGTCAAGCTTCCAACTTTACTACTAAACACTAGTGCTAAAAATTTAGACGAGCCGCCCACGACCGCCTGAAAATACTGAGTTTTTGTCCGAGCCCGAGCCCGACCCGTCCGAAAAATTCAGGCCGCCCGCCCGAGCCTGAAAATGCACTTGAACGGGCAGCGAGCTTATATTTAGTTGCCCGAACCCGGCCGGGCAGCTCGAGCCCGCCCGAATAGCCTGATATTTTTTTAATTTTTATAATTATTAAATTAGTTTGTGTTAAAATTATATAAAAATCAAAATCAACATTCAACATACATTATTAACACAATTGAATTAATGATGTATATTAAATTCGTAATTCATGATTGCCTCATTAAAAACCTTACCACGAAAAACTCAATTGGGATAAAAACTTGACAAGAAAAAAAGAGTGCAATCATTTTTGTGATGAATTATAAATTTTACAAACTTACAAAGTTATACAATTACAAATACAATGTCAAAAGTAAATACATATTTACAAATTACAAATTTACAATTTAATTTGAAGCTAAAGGATCGTCTTTAAAATTAAATATTAATCGATTAAATACATCGATCCATTCTTAGCTTGCCAGTGAAATTGTATCCTGTAGACGTTGATCGGCCCAATCCTAATCCTTAATGCAAACCAAGGCTTCAATAATATCCCTGTGCAATGCATTCCGGCGTTCCTCAAGTATTCTTCTTGTAGTACTGAAGGCTTGTTCGGATGAGATAGTAGAGACTGGGATAAAAAATATATCCATTGCCAATCAAATTAGGACTGGCCAAGTTAATGCACGTGCCCTCCACCATTGAACTGAGTTAAACGATTCTGTCGTACCGTCGACTACTAAGCCTTCACTGAGGTACGCCATAAGCTCATTGAAGCTGCCGCCGCTGCTGCCACTGCCACTTGTTGATGAAGATTCACTCCCATCTTCTGTTTGAGTTGTCTTCTTCTTCTTCTTCAACCCGAAAACATTCAAGAATGAATGCGAATTTTCATCTTGTTGTTGCGGTTCCTGTACTTTAGGAGGTACTCTAAACCTAATCTCATATTTACTATAGATCGAATATATTTTTTCCTTTATTATTGGCTATTGGTCCTTACAATTGATGCCTAAAAATTCACCTAAGTTTTCTAAACCTTCTAATTTTAATCTAGGATCAAAAATAGTACCTAAACCATACAACAAAGGCAACTTAGACCAATATTTTATAAATTTCTTTTCCATAGAATGGATAGGAACTGCTAAGATTGGGTCCTCCCTATATTTGCCATACTAATTCTTAAAAGTTCTCCTAAAGCTAAAGGTGATGTTGGGTAATATGTTCCATTAAGTTTTAGAGTCACTTCATGAAACCTACCTAAAAATTGATACAAAACTTCAGCAATTTGTCAAGCATATGCGTCTATATATCATACTCCTACTTTTGCACACATATAGTTTGTTATAGCATCCTTATAGGGGATGCATTGTTAAAGCATTATGTAAGTTGAGTTCCATCTTATAGGCATATCTAACGCTAATGCTCTAGGAGGTATATTTAATGCTTGTAAGAACCTAAACCAATCTTCTTGTCTTTGGTTACTACCTTGAATCCATGCAAGACTATCTCTAATTCTTTTAATGTGATTACCCATTTCTTTTAAACCGCATTTAACAATTAAATTAATTACGTGACATGCACAGCGTTGGTGAAAAATAGTACCGTCACCGAATAAACTTAAATCATTTTCAAAGAACTCAATTGCTTTTGTATTGGCACTAGCATTATCTAATGTTATAGCCATTACTTTATCTCTTAATCTAAATTCATCAATTACATTTAAAATGGTATTATATATTAAATCCGCACTATGTGATCCTAGAACACATTTAAAACCTAATATTCTCTTATCTAAATCAAATCCTTTAAAGTAATGTCCGGTTACAGCTAAATAATCTCTATTCGCAATGGCAGACCAAATATCTGCCGTTAATGCGACGCACCCGCTAGTCGAGTGTAAAAGGTTTATTAATGCTTCTTTTTATTTTTTAAATAATTTTAATAAATCTTTTCTAAGAGTAGTTTTTGAAGTGAACTGTGCAGTAAGATTATGTACAACCTTAATATATCGTTGCCAATTAGGATGCTCTACAAAACTAAGTGGTTGATCTAAAGCAGCTATCATTCGTGCAACTTCCATATTATCTACTTGCGGATCGTATTTCTAAGTGGTTCGACCACCGGTTACGTGATCAAAAGATAATTGTGTTTGGTGGAGTTCAGGTCCGCCAGATTGGCTAAGCTTTTGAAGACACTTTTCAGAGTGTCTTCTCAAGTGTGTGGTGCCGTGAATAGTGTCACCTTTACACTGAGCTATATGTTTAGTGTTACCTTCATTGTCGATCTCCTCAATTATGTCAAAGTGATCCCAAACTGTCGAGGTGCGCTTGCATTTCCTCCTAGATGTTGCAACACTTGCAGACGTAGTCGCACTGGCACTCACCGTCGCTGCTTCTCCACGCCCACCACCATTGCGACCACGACCTCCAGTACGTTCAACAGGGCTCGAATTAGTAGATTCTTGCGTAACAAATTCATTAGTGGGAAATTATCATTCTTCCACGTTGTGTTGGGCATCAACGGGAATACCACTTTAACCAAAAGGATCCATTATAAAAAAATAAGTGCGATTTGAGAGAGAGAGAGAGCTTTAGGATAATGTGATAGTTTTTGGAAAAATTGTGATAG